GACAAGCAGTGTTGATGGCTCCTCCCCAGAAATGCATAGCTAGTCCCTTACCGTGAAGTATAGCTTTAGGCATTTCTTAAAGCACACGATTTTTTTCTCTCAACTACCCCATTTTGTTGTGGAGTGATCGGCGAGGAGAACTCATGTTGGATTCCCTTCTCTAGGCAGAAGTTCTCAAGATTCGAGTTTTCAAACTCTTTTCTACGATCACTACAAATTCTTGATATGGTAAAGTCTTTCTCATTTCTAAGATTTTTGCACAATGATATGACAAGACTGACCATACAAATTCTTGATATGGTAAAGTCTTTCTCATTTCTAAGTTTTTTGCACAATGATATGACAAGACTGAACACTTCAGATTTTTCTCTCAATAGTTCAATCCAAGTATATCGAGAGAAGTCGTCAACCACAACCAAAATATATTTTTTACCACCAAGACTCTCAATCCTAGATGGTCCCATTAAATTCATATGGAATAATTCAAGTGGCTTGGTTGTTAAAATTTTAGAAGTTTGTTTATGAGTTACTCTAAGCTGTTTAACTTGTTGACACGGACCACATAGAGTGTTATCAACATTTTCAAGTTTAGGCAAACCATTAACAAGTTCCTGTTTTGCAAGTTTAGACAAACTATTATAGTTCATATGACCAAGGAGTTGATGCCACAATTCAGTTACACCAATCTTGGTACTACTGCACACATAGTTGGGATTAGGAAGAACTCCATAACAGTTGTCTGAAGTTCGTATAACTTCAAGGACAATGTTGCCAGTAGTCATATACAGTACACATTTTCTAAACAAAACTAACCTCAAAATCAGCATTGCATATTTGACTAATGCTTAACGAGTTAGATTTTAGCCCTTTCACATAAAGCACATCTAAGATAGCAGGTAATCCAGATATATTAATGACATCTTTGCCTAGGATAGGTGCAGTAGCCCCATCTCCAAATGTAACTATATCACCATTCCAATTATCGAGAGAAGAGAACTTTGTCACCACACATATGTCTAGAACATGCACTATCAAGATACCACGTAGAGTTATTTTGAGCCTTAAGTGCAACATGTGCAACATAGCAATTTAGCTGATCATTCGACCTAGAAAGGTCACTCTTCTTAACCCAAATATTCTTAGAAATAAAAGTGGTCCTAGTTAACCAAGTCATCATCTCAGTTAAATGACTAACCTGATTAGGGAGAAAGTTAACATTGCTAGAGAAACCTTGACTTTTACTTCTAGTCACGAGTTTATGACACCTTCATCCCCAATAGATTACAAATTTCTGCGTACCACTTATGAATGAATGAAGTTGAGTATTAGATTTTTCAAGATCACTTGTTAAGGATTTAACTTTGGCTTCCAAGTTCTCATTAACAAGCTTCAACTCACTCATATTTTTGATAAAGTCCTGAAAGTCTCCTATAAGTTTCTTTCTCTCTCTCTCTTTCAAGTTCATTCAATTTTTTCAACACAACTTTATTGACATTTTTGATTTTTTTAAGACTCTCCTCGAATAATTCTCGATAAAACTCATGAATATCTGTCTCATCCTCAGACTCTTCTTCAGATTTTTCACTAAGTTCTACAATCTCAACTTTTTCACTTTCCTTATCGGATTCTATCGTAGCTATAGATGTGAAAGCCATGAAATTTTGTTCATCTTCGCCACCATAGGTATTACTCTGTGCACTTGAATCTGATTCATCGTCACTCAAGGTCACAGCTAATGTCGTGCGCCTTCCGTTATTCAAGTTCTTCTTTACATTAGGATATTCATTCCTGTAGTGACCAAAACTCTAACATTCATGACATCTAACAGATTGAGTTTTCTTATTAGCGATCCTAGAGTTATTTTTTTCATGCTTATCTTTCATGAATTTACTAGAAACTTCATTTTTCCGTTCTCGAGGCTTTCTCCTATTCCTCATCACTTTCTAGACTTTTTTAAATAAATAACCTATTTCGTCGTCCTTAAGCGTTTCAACATTAGTAGACTCACGCTCTTCTTCTCTGACAGTGTTCATGGCCATGGATTTAACATTTTTAGGTTGAGAAACGGTGAGTTCATAGGTTTGAAGAGATCCTACGAGTTCTTCTATCTTAACTGTATCTAAATCCTTACTTTCTTCAATGATAGTGACTTTAGGTCTAAACCTTTCAGGTAGGGATTAAAGGACTTTTCTAACGATATTGGACTCGGGAATCTTTTCACCTAAGTTAAAACTCGAATTAACTATATCATTCAACTTCGCATAGAATTCATCAAACGATCCATCATCCTTCATTCTAATTTCTTCAGACATAGAGGTTAACATTTACAGTTTAGAATTTTTAACAGTTTTAGTTCCCTCGTATATGGTTTTTAAGATGTCCCAAACTTCTTTCGCAGTCTTACACATCGAAACTCTCCTAAACTCTTCAGCAGACACAGCCATGAACAGGGCATAAATGCCTTTACTATTCTAGTTACACTCAGCTAGATCATCTTTAGTCCAAAGTGAGATATCAGTGGGTGTAACTACACCCGAAACAGTAGTTGAATAGGTGTAAATGTGAAATTAATAAATTATAATTAACTAGCAAACAAATCACTAATTAATTATCTCTAAATGATTATGCAATCAGTTCAATTATCCTATATTTGAATACCGTAAAATATAAAAACAGTAAATAAAGCAATAAATAACGTACTGTATGATCACGAAAAAACCCCAAGTGGGTAAAAATTTCGGGCACTTTGCATGTCAACAATCCACTATAAACGATTTATAACTTACAGTCTATCGACTAGACGACAACACGTACTATCTGATCTCCGACTGCAATTCCAACAGCTCTCTTGAATTTTGTGCTCATGCACCAACTCCTAGCTGCAGTTTCCAAAGCTCTCTTGGATTGCGCTCCTGCAGCAACTTTCAACTTTGTGAAATCGTCTATCTCCTGCGGATTCATGAACACTATGTTCTTCAATGACTGGAACTCCAGTCACCTTCCCTTGATCTTCAGAAACTCTGACAGATATGAAGGAAGCAGCAAACTGGTATTTGGATTATGAAATTGATGTTCTCACCGCTAAGAACAGTACACTATGTGAATAACGAAGGTTGAAGAGTAATTGATAAAGAGAATATGAAAAGTTAAGGCGCTGTTCTCTTTGTGTTTTAAGTTTTGAATTCATTTTGAGTTTTGTGTTTTGAGTGTTCATTTTGAGATTGTTGAAAATGTGTTTTTTTGGCATTTTAAAAATAGTTTTGAAAACACTCAAAACGTTTTTTGAAAATCTTGACTTGATTATAACTGAAAACACCAAAAACGACATTGGTTTTTTTTGTAAATTTTTAACTTGTTTTCAAAAATGCGTTTTCTAAAATAAGAAAGAGAACACGTTTTCACTATTTAGGAAAATCAAAAACAGAAAACGGCTTGAAAATGGTAAAGAGAACATACTCCAAGTGTTTGCTTAATGATTAACTCTCAGAAAAACCGTTATGTGGTGTTTGGTATTTATAGGTTAGGATAATGATTGAATGAGCCGTACAAAAAGCCTTTAAAAAATGAATTAAAAAATTTCTGTATAGCACTTTTGCTGGAGTGAGGGATGAGCGACAGATTGTTGCTCGAGCAACGGCAAGGCGACAGGCAGACGACTCAGTTTCTGACGCTTAAGCCAAACTTTGTCAATAAGCTAACAATATTTCGGCGCTATTTTTCTTTCTTTTCCATTCTCGAACCCTAAATCTAATATAACACAACTTTTTACTATTTACACATTACTGCTTGACTTTTACAACATATCAATTTAAGTTCTTTTTATTCACAGACTTGTCAATTACATTAAATACCTAACATAGGGCAATTGCGGAAATTGGGCTATTTTAGCACCCCTTTTTTTTTTTAATATGGTCAAAGGCCATTTTGAAAACATGGTTGGGTCAAGAAGTCATATTCACATATTTCCTGAGAAACATTAGCCTTGCCAGACAGTCCTTAACTACAAACATAAAATATTCCTTTCACAACATACACAATTGCATATTTTAGTGCTACTTAATTAATGATATCAGTAACGATAAAAATTATTCTTACTATTTGATCATTATCTAACTACAATCATTTTTAGTCAATTTAAAATATACACTAACTTGTGTTTGCTTAAAAACTAATAAACCCGTATTCCTTTTATATCGTATTCGACAGTCTATTGATCAACAAAGTCTTATTGACAAAGATGACGATTGCAACATAGAGTGAAACCTCGACCCATGTAACAAGATACACCATTAATTTATAAAGACCACAATTTTCTATTGTAAATCATGCGGTGGGTTGATTGGCAGTGCTTCGCTATGCTGAAAATAATAAATCAAATAAGTTTGTTTACAAATTTGAAGTCAATATTATATTGTTAAGAAAATCGATGCCAATAGTTTAAGGGTAATTTGTAAAGATGGTTCCCAATCTCTATGCCTTGTGCGAATAAAATCCTGATTCTTTCATTCTTGGCACCAAAGTCCTCAACTTAAGGCTTTGGTACAAAAATAGTCCAACAATCAAGAAAGATTAGGGTTTGGACTAGTGATGAAAACAAATAATGGAAGTGAACCATACATGACTACTACACTATAACAATCACATTTCAAAACTAACAATTTTATCAAATTATTTCAAAATTTAGGTGTTAATTCCAATTAATTTTATCAAATACTTCCATTAATTTTATATTTTATCAAAGTCTTAACAGGTACATGATTTTACTAAATGGATAACACCGAAACTTAGAATAAAAAATATCATATACTACTAACATGACTACTTTTTTGTTCTATGCTTCATCAGGAATTGTATCAGACGTCTGACATAAGAACATGAACAAATCATATTTACATTTCATTATTCTGTATACAACTGGGAATTCGAGAATTCCATTGTAAACGTAGCAAAGCCATATTCAGTAATTAGCTGCAACAATTTAAAAAACTCGATTGTTAGTACTAAGTGTTCGGGTTAAACGAAAAGGACCTCTTCATTGATATCGACACTTTTTGAATGGAACGCCCATATGATCGACTCTTTATCAGCCTATATATGCTCGAAGCCGCATAAGGATTTTGTTCTTCTTTCTTTCCACGAACGTTAGCAGCATTACAGATCGTAGAAGTAGATGAAAAATCCATAGAAATCGATCTTCTAACTGTTTGTTGCAACGCCCTGTCGACTTTTGCACGATGATCAGCCAAATCACTTAGCACTCGATACTTTCCACCAGTGAGACTAACACCGATATTTTCTGCCCCAATTCTCGTTTCACCAGTTAAATTCGTCTCTACTTCATGTTCTTCTAATACTAGTTCTTCCTCTTGCGAACCCAAATTACTCGAATGAGTGTCCACTTCATTCGTCTGATCAGCAGCATTCGTATTGCTAACAATCGGGGCACGACAAAGGGGACAACGTTTGTTTGACCTTAACCAGGTATCGATACATGGGACATGAAAAGCATGGCTACATTTGGGTAACAACCTAAGACTCTCATTTTCTTGAAATCCACTTAAGCAAACAGAACAATCAGTACCTTCAATCAAACCTTCCCCACTTTTGTACTTAAAAACTGCTATAGAATCGATTATGGACTGATGTAGCCCAACCGTACGTATATACCATATAGGATGGTCCACCACAGGCCCTTGATTTTCATCGATAAAATCCTCTCGGGCACTATTCTCCAATGGTACTGAATTTCTCCTCCTGGAATTCCTTGACCGATACCTCCTTATAGAAAGATAGGAGATAACCATAAAAGTAGCACCAAGAACACAGATGATGAGGATCAAAATTGTTGACATATGACGTTTTGGGCTAGCCAGGGGCGGACACGGTGTTGGCGGCGGTGTTGGCGGCAACGATGGCAGTTGAGGTGCTGGTGGTGACTTGTCCTTAGGCTTCTTATCTCCTAACAAAAACTTTCTATGATGAAATGCCATCAAGAAATGCTTTAGATTCAAGAAATGAGAGAGGATCAAATAAGGAATTGATTGTTTATGCTTTATTTTTGTTGCATATTGACTGGGGAAGATTACTTGTAATTTCAATATTGGTTTAGTTTGTCAAAAGTTGATTGCCTTGCAAAGTTAGTGGTTGGGTAGGCTATTTGTTAGTGATATTTCCATGCACATTCGCTTGTTTTAATATTTATTTAATTATATTATCTATATTTCGTTTTCAAGTTGTTTTTGTCAATTATCTTTTATCACATAGTAGAAAACTTTAAAATTGACATGGTACCTAATTTTCCAAATTTTTAAAGGAAAAACTAACTTTTTTTTTTTCGTGTCAGTCAAAGCGTATCAAATAAGTAAGAAGCTTGGCGACTTCCCATTCCACACGGAATCATGGGTAAAAGATAGACCATTAGGTAGATATTACTATATTTTGGTCTTGTATGATATTGAACCACACATTTTGTGTATATTAAAATAGATATGATTGAAAGATAATTGAAGCTATTTGTTTGTATTCAAATTATGTTCAGTTTTATGTAAGGAAATATTTTAAAGTTTACTCTATTCTCATTAATTATTATTAAGTACTCCAGTAAGAATTAATGAATTTTTGACCTTTTAAATTTGGGAATATTTTTCAGAATTTATCTGTTCTTAGACATGAACGTTGTTCTTGTTAAGTTTGCTACATCACCTAATAGTAACAGTAGTTATTCTACTAAAAAAATTTAAAAATTTGCGATATGTCGATATTGTTACCAACATATTCTCTTGTAAAATCAAACGTGACAGCAGAATTATCTCAACTTTTATCGTTTTCCAACCCTATTGACCCTCCACTGGAACTCCTATGGGTTGACATAGGTGTCGTGTGTAGAATTTTGTTCTTCTTAAATTTAGGAATTTACTCATCGTTCATAAGAGAGCCAAATGAACTATAACACAAAAAAATTGTTGTCGAAGGATAATAGCGACTGAATTTCCCAGAGCAAAATCCCTCAATGAAACCTTCGCTTTATGTTAAGCAATGAATTTAGAGCCTGTTTGACAAAGCTTTTTAAAATTCCAAAACTACTTTTAAAACTAAAAAATTACATTTGAATATGTTTGGATTATTTTCTGTAAGTGGTTTGTCTAACTAAAAATAGAAAAAAAATGATTTAAAATAACTTCTTCAAAAACTCTTCTACAAAAGGTAGAAACATAAGTCGTGTCAAACAGTTCTTAATTACAAACATAAAATATTCCTTTCACAACATACACAATTGCATATTTTAGTGCTACTTAATTAATGATATTAGTAATTAGGGATGACAAAATAACTAGTCGGCTCGGGCTCGGACAAGAAAGAGCTCGAACTGGGTTGGCTCGTGGCTCGGTGGGGTCTGAGCCGTCGCTCGAGCCTGCCTGGCCTGTGTGGCTCGACGGCTGGCCCGTGAACCTTAAAATAAAATTAAGAAAAAAAATTTGTCTACCAATTCTTTTTTTAAATTTTTTCTTTTAATTTTAGATGTAATTTTTTTATATGTTAATATTTAGTTATTATTTATAAGGATTATGCTTGTCGTACCCACCCCACCCCACCCCACCCCACCCACATAGGGGTGGGATTCACTTCTATGTGAGGGGGTGTAACCCCTTAGGTACATCTTTTGATGTACCACTAGCATAATCATATTTATAATACGTATAAATTATACAAATTGTCTTAAAAAAAAGAATCGAGCCGACTCCAGCTGCCTAAATTTTTTGACTGAGCTTTTGCTTAGCTCGGCCTGGACAAAA